CAATAGTGAAAATTAGGGTAGTAGTACGACTTTCCTCATCTGTTGTAGGTATGTTGTTATTATGCTGATCGATTTTTATTGGATATCGTAGCCATGATGGACCGTTCCACCATAATGAAGAATTTATTAAATCGCGCGCGAAAATTCCCCGTGATATTAAGTCAGCGGGATTGTCTTGTGATTTAACATGCAACCAGTTATTGATATCAGTTTTAGTTTGGATATCGGCTACCCTATTAACAACAAATGTTTTCCAACGGTAGGATGGAGATTTAATCCATGATAAAATAACTGTTGAATCGCTCCAAAAAAAATCCCTATCGAAGGTGATGTTTAACGCTGTTTTGATTTTTTGTATAAGATTTGCTAATAAGTGCGTTTAATATTGCTTCGATCTGTGTTAATACTGTGTAAAATTCTTCGAACGTAAGGCATGCATTGCCAAGAACACGTTTTAAATTGGCTTTACATGATTTAATGCCTGCCTCCCAAAGCCCCCCAAAGTGAGGAGAGTTTGCCGGAATGTAATGCCAGGATATAGACTCAATTGATAGATTGTTTGTAATGGTAGATTTAATAGATTTATTTTGTAAAAATTTAGATAATTCGTTTAATTCAGAATTTGCACCTACGAAGTTAGTGCCATTGTCCGAAAATATATCGCTAGGTTTGCCGCGGCGTGCAGTGAATCGTCTCAAAGCTGCTAAAAAACACTCCGCGGTCAAATCGGATACTAGTTCAATGTGAATAGCTTTGGTGACAAAACAGACAAACAAACAGATATATGCTTTATATTTTTTATAACCTCTGGTACGGCGATCTCTTAGAATTATGAGACCTCCGTAATCGACGCCACATGTCGAAAATGGCGTTTGAGGGGTTATTCGATGTGTTGGTAAGTTTCCCATTAATGGGTTTATTGAAGTTGGTTTACCTTTGAAACAAGTTATGCAATTTTTGACTATGTTTCTAGTTAGATTTCTACCCCCCATTGGCCAATAATTATTGCGCAAGGTATTTAACAACATTTGAGACCCGCAGTGATATAGTCTCAAGTGTTCATATTTCGCAATTAACGTTGTTAATATGTGTTTTCTATAACCAATATTTGAGTTTTTTAAGCGACCTCCAACGCGAAGTATTCCGTTTTCGTCAAGAAAAGGATTTAACGTTTTTAAATTAGAAGTTTTATCTACCGACCCATTCTTTATTATATTACTTATGTCCTTTTTGAATGCTTCGTTTTGAGATAGCTTTATTAACAACATACGCGAAATATTCAGTTCACATACTTGTAAAGGTCCGCGTACCCTCACTTTTTTCTTTGGTCTGGAATTGTTAGAAAAACGTAAACAATGAGCTACGACACGAATCAGTTTAGTGATGGATGAATAGCGATTAAATAATTCATTTCTTTCGTCAATAGTGAAAATTAGGGTAGTAGTACGACTTTCCTCATCTGTTGTAGGTATGTTGTTATTATGCTGATCGATTTTTATTGGATATCGTAGCCATGATGGACCGTTCCACCATAATGAAGAATTTATTAAATCGCGCGCGAAAATTCCCCGTGATATTAAGTCAGCGGGATTGTCTTGTGATTTAACATGCAACCAGTTATTGATATCAGTTTTAGTTTGGATATCGGCTACCCTATTAACAACAAATGTTTTCCAACGGTAGGATGGAGATTTAATCCATGATAAAATAACTGTTGAATCGCTCCAAAAAAAATCCCTATCGAAGGTGATGTTTAACGCTGTTTTGATTTTTTGTATAAGATTTGCTAATAAGTGCGCTGCACATAATTCAAGTCGCGGCACTGTTATATTACGCAATGGTGCTACTTTAGATTTGGAAGTAATGAGTTGAATTTTAAAGTTTGAATTTTTGTTAGCTGATCGTATATATACGCATGCACCATAAGCTCGTTCAGACGCATCTGCAAAGCCATGCAATTCTATGTTTACATGATCTTTACAAAACATATGTCGGTCGATATTTATATCATCAATAGATTTTAGATCTTTGTAAAATAATTTCCATTTATTTTCTATATCGGACGGTATTGACTCGTCCCAAGATATGTTTAAACGCCAAAATTGTTGGATAATTAATTTGGGTATTATTATAAAAGGCGATAGAAGCCCAATAGGGTCGAATATTTGAGCTGTTGCGGCTAAAATTGATCTTTTGCTAATATTTTTATTTATTTTGATACTACTAGTATTAAAGTTGAAACGATCTGATATAGAATTCCATGTCATGCCCAACGTTTTAATTGTTTCATCGCCGATATTGAGACATGGATTCTGATTATTTAATTCTAATAATGGTAATGAGGTAGTGTCTCTTATTACCGTATTTGATTTATTGTCTTTTTTAGGTTCAAGATGTTCAGCGTTATAATTAGCTTGATTTAAGTTTATTGTTAGATTTTGTTTATTTAAAACTAGTTTTTCTGTTGTATTATTAGCTTTAGTTGATAAGTTATGATTACAGAAGACGTTTTTAATAACATTGCTTTTTGGATATTGAGTAATATTCTCATTTGTTAATTGTTTTGTTATTTGATAATTAGAATCTAATAATAGTACCGAGGTAGTTCCTCTTTTTACCGTATGTGATTTAATGACGTTTATAGTTTCAAGATGCGCAATGTTTTTAGATTTATTATTATTAGATTCATTGAGAGTTATTGATTCAGATGGAATCGAAATATAGTTGTTTAATGTTTTTGTATGATTGTTTACTATAATGGTTTTACTTTCGTACCGCGATTTTAGCAATTCCCAAACATTTATATAGTTGTCCGCGGTAGCAGGTAGAGAATCGATTATGTTACCTGCTTCGCCTTTCAAGCAAGATTTTAGGTAAGAATATTTTTGAGAATTGCTATATTTGGGTCAATATGAATTGAATAGAATGAATTATAGAACTGTAACCAGTTAATATCTGTACCGTCGAAATGAGGTAAATTAATTAAAGCAAATTTATTATTGTTTGTTTGATATGATTTGTCACCAAGGCCACTATTTGAGCTAGGATCTGTTTTAAATGTTTTAATAGCTGTATGTAAAATTGAACAGCATTTAGTATAAGTATCATTGAAATCGTAAAATTCAGTATCTATCAAAAAGTCAATGTACTCTTCGTCATCAAAATGATTTGCAATTTGAATTATTAATTCTTGAAAAGTATCCAAAGAAGGTTTTAGTATTTCTAATATTTGTTTAAGCTCTGATATATCTAACTTGCTACTCTCATTTTCTCTTATTCTTTTACAAAAGCTATGGATTTGCGTCAAACGAAATTTCATAAACTCTTTTTTGATATTTAAATTTTCTAAAGGATCCATATTAACACAGATCTAGTACAATAATTTTAAAAAACGTTAGGTATGGATAATGAATAGGAAGGATTAAGAAAAAGGAGTGCTTAAATTAGACTGACCTTTGTGTTGTCGGCATTCTGTGTCCTCGCTTGATGTTAAGCTGATTTGGATTCAGCTTTTGTTTCCTTGATAATGTGCTGCTTGTTGTTTCACGATAATACACAACGCACTTACACTGAGATTTATTGTTAATCTTGATGCTAGTTTGATTTAATTGTTTATATTGTTGTTGATATAATCGTTGATTAAATTTGATTTTAGATTAATGTTTATGCGATGCAATGTATTATGTTAAAGGATGATTTAAATAATTACACTGTGCACTATAAGTTTTAGATTTTAGATTTTAGATTAATATTTATGCGATGCAATGTATTATGTTAAAAGATGATTTAACTAATTACACTGTGCACTATGAGTTTTAGATTTTAGATTTTAGATAAAGGTTTTTAACTTAATATGCGATGCAATGTATTACACTAGAAGATGAAGATTTAAATAATACACTGTGCACTAAGTTTTAGATTTTAGATAAAGGTTTTTAACTTAATATGCGATGCAATGTATCACACTAGAAGATGAAGATTTAAATAATACACTGTGCACTAAGTTTTAGATTTAGATTGTTTCTTTCACTTTCACTGGTTAATCCGGTTCAAATTGGACCAAAAAATTTTTAATAAATATGACCATTCGGTTTGAATGGCCAAAAAGGTATTTGTTGAGATAGGTTCAAAGTGTTTAAGAAGTTCGTGATCTATCTGGATGCTGCCGAACTCTATTGAACACTTGCACTTTTTCGAAGGACCAGATATATTTAGTTGTTGGCTATATCAGACCGTTTGAATGAAAATAAAAGATATTGAATAACTGTTTGATTATTGTGTATTTGAAATATTAAGACTTATAGATTAGATAGTTGAGGTTTTTTAATTAGATGATTTAGATTTGAGTGTTAATTTACGACTGATCTTAGCTATGTGATATTTAGGTTGATACTAAATTATATAAATTTTATAATTTGATATATTTTTCTGATTGGCCCATTTTGTGGAATTAAGGACACCCCATTACAAATTTGGAACCAATCAGTGGTTATTACATTTATCAACCGATCAGGTATTGGTTGATAAATTGCATGATACAGAGAATTTAAACTGGACACAGGTAGTGCGAATTTCTTGGAAATATAAGGATGGTAGGATCATATAGTTAGGGACAGGTGATAAAAATTCTAGGAAAAATGGATTACTGATTTTGCGACAGGATGCGTAATAATGAAAGGGATGAGGGTTTATTGTCGCTATCCTGCATGGAGATAATAAAATATAATAATTATACCAGGGTTGGGAATGACGCGTTAACAGAATTAATTATCAAAATGTAAAGAAATTTGTGTAATAAAAATATAACATTATTATTAATATATCATGTATATTATAAGAACTTCTGCAATGCGGCAAAATATTTTTGATGGCAAAACGGCGTTTGCCGGGTCAGCTAGTATATATATATATATATATATATATATATATATATATATTTGTTTCAAGCCAACTTTACACCGAACTAGGTAACATTCAAAACGAATAGTAAAACAACATACCTCAACGTTCATATTGCCTAATGTTGGCCAGTCACCCATATCTGAGAAGTTGCTTGCCTGCAATAAAATGAAATTATGTAATAAATAAAATAAACTAAGGAATTGAACAGAACTAGTAAATCTCACAATCGAATAGAATATATTCTAAATGACCCGACAGACGTTGTCCTGTAATCATGTCTACAATTCAAAAGTTGTAATTAACTTCTCGAAGGAAGAGTTTATGTTTTCATAAAAAAATCCGATTCGCCAATTTTATGTTTTCTCGACGTTTCAAGCCATTCTGAATCGAATGAGACCAAATTTGGAAAAAGTATGTGTGTGTGTGTGTGTGTGTGTGCGTGTGCACCAACAGATTCTTTGCCGTAAATCGCCGTTTTCTCAAAAACGCCTGAGCCGATTTTAGAAATTTAAAAGCTATTTGATGTATTTCGGTGAGGACTATCGTTTGTCAGTTTTGTGTGACGATCTGCCAAGCCGTTTCTTTGCAATTTGAAAAAAAGTGTTAAACTTTTCAAGTGTTAAACATTTAAGCTCATCCTACCGAACCGATTTTAAAAAATCAAAAACTGTTCGAAAGATATTAGTTGGGAATTGTACTGATTAATTTTAGGTGAAAATCTACCGAGCCGTTTTCTTGTAATTAACTGTTGGAAAAAAAATTTAAGCCGATTTTTATGGAACTTTTTTTGACGATATACATCATGGTCTTACAGAACTTACTGTAATATTACGGCCTTACGACAAGTAGTTTAATTTTAAAAATTCGTCAAACTTTGCTAAAATTATTATCGTTTTTTTTTTAAAGTAGGATTGATGAAGTATATTATTATTTACACTTTTTTTTTTTTTTTTGATTAAGTCGATTATTTACACATATCGGGAAGTTCATGTAACTTGCCTCAAGGCTAAATACCAAACCAACTCGTTTTTTTTTGTAACCTATACTGATTTTTACCAGTTAGTTAAAAATTATTATGTTTTTTACACTGCAGTCTATACCGAAATGTATATACATCCATATGGGTGATGTACAAATGCTTTAATTAAAATGATGATGTTAACGCCTTACTCAACCCTAGTCTAATTATATATTTTATTACCTTCATACAGGATGGCAATAATAAATCCTCATCCCTTATTATATAATTTAGAACAATAAATTAATCCCTTTCATTGTCACGCATCCTGTCCCTAAATCTATCATCATTAATCCTTTTTTCTAAGAATTTTAATCACCTGTCCCTAAATATACCATCCTACAATTAATATATATTTCTAAGAAATTCAGATCGCCTAAATAAATCTCATGCAATCACAGGCCAATACCTGATTGGTTGATGAATGTAAAAGCTACTGATTGGATCCAAAATTGCACTGGGATGTCGTTAATTCCATAAAATGGGCCAATCAGAAAAATATATAAAATTGAAAAATCTTTATAATTTGTATCAACAAAAATATCATGTAGTTAACATCAGTCTTAAATCAACATTCAAAGCAATAACATCTAACATATCTATAAATCTTAATCTTTCATTCAAATATACAATAATTAAACATTTATTATTATTCTTTTATTCGGTCTGATATAGCCACTATCTAAGTATATCTGGTCCTTCGACAATATAAATCACGGATCACGGACTTCTTACACATTTTGCAATCTATCTTTTAACATATTTTTGATCCATTCGAAACGGATGGTCAAATAGTGAACAGATGAGTCTCAGAAACCACACTTAACTCTTTAACTATAATGTGAAATTCAAATCAGCCACGTAAAACCATCAAACAAATATTGAAATATGTTCAATAAAATAGTATATTAGAAATATGAACTACACTTTATTGAACAAATTTATTTCCAATAGCTCAATTTATTTTAATGCTAAGGGCTATCCAATATTTTTAGTCATACCTGTAGATGGATGTAAAAATAAATGATTTTTATTTATTCACGGCTAAAACATCGATTTTCCAAATTTATCACACAAAACTTCGTCGTCTGCCTTTGTGATTTATAGCATAAGATATACGTGTTGGAAATTGCAGTCTTTTAAACAGTATAACATAGTATTATTATTTTACTTTATTAGTATAAAATGCCGTCATTTTGAACTAATAAAGAAATCTTTGACATAAGCCGCCTCAGTTGCCTTGGCCGTCTTCGCCGCTATCGGTGTTTTTCAGAATGTAAACAGAATGAAAAAAACCTTATTTATTACTCAATGAATAAAGTAGATTTTTAGTAAAATTTGACTCAAATCAAATCAAATAAAAATTATTTTTGTTTTATATATTGCTGAGAACTGTTAGGTTGTATGCAATATTTTAAGTATAACAGATCTCACATTGAAATTAGTTGGTAGTAAAGTTTAATTTGGTAGTAACAATTTTAATATATTATTTGTAATTAATATAAAGTTGTATATTAATGTTAGATTTCATACTAAATGCATTACAAGTTTTAATATGGCCTCTGTTAAACTTAAAATATTGCATATTACATAATAGTTCTCAACAATATTTATTTTTCTTTATTTTGTCACATGGGAACGTATCCGCTACAATTCCATATAAAATTCCATTATGTATTTGATTTATTCATTATTTGCGGATTATTTTGTCATCTTGGAACGTATCCCCTATATTTCCATAATATTCGCGGCATTTTTACGAAACGTATTTTAAAATAAATTTAATAGATCCATATCCTAAGTCCTGGCTTAAAGTGTTTGAAATATTTATAAATCCTGACTTATGCTATTTCCTTTCCTTTTGCTATTTTCTAGTATAATTCATATTTATTTATTTTTTCTCTAACAAGCTTTATTGCGAAGTAATAATTTCTTTGGCTTGTTTTTATTTGTGTTTAGTATATTAATTCGTGAGTTTTCTATTTTATTTCATTTCATTCTTACGTATATAACTTTATGTTAGATTTGTTCTTTATGTAATTTTTCAACTCTTGTTTTATTTGTTCATAATATTTTTGGATGCTTATTGTATGTTAAATTTCAATATTTTTACAAGTTATATGGACTACACTAACCTTATAATTGTATTTTCTTTTATCTGCATTTGCTTTAACAACAAGGGGTTGGGTTGATGCTATCAAATTCGAAACCACATCTGCAGACTTTGTTGCATTTCGTCCGGTCCTCGATTTATTGCCATCATTTATATTCTCTGAAATGAATAATTTTAATAAATATAATATGATATATATATTTATTTATAAGTTTCAACGCGGTTGTGTGTTCAGCAATTTTTTTTGTTACTTTTACAGTATCACATTAGGAAAAACAATAGAAAAATTTAAAATAACATATAGAAAATAAACAATATGAAGTAAAAAATTTTCAGTTTTAAATTTAAACTAAAGATTTGTGTAATATAATTTTCGAGCAAAAAACCCTGTATATATAATCAGTAGCGGCGCTAGGCGTTGGCAGTGTCGGCGACCGCCGATGGCCTAGCGCTTCAGGGGGCCTCGCAAGAATGTAAATCATTGTTCTTTTTGGGAATATATACGAGTAGGATTTTTAATTTATCCAAACCGTAATTAAATATTCGAGGAATAAAATTAATCAGTGATCAATAAAAATTGATCAATGAGAAATAACAAAAGCTGTTACTTTGAAACTATTCATTGTTTCACACCGTGAACACAAGCAATATATTTCGTGAATCATTCTTTCGGGATGATTAGTAATAATAATATAAACCAGTTACCGTAGGTCTTTAATGGTTTAGTACGCAAAGTTAACATTAAGACTAAGTACTCTATCGTTATACCTAGTAAATCGTCTAATTCTAACAAGCGTCAAAAAACTACTCATTTTCTCAAACTTTGATGAATTTTTAAAATTAAACTACTTGTCGTAAGACCGTAATATTTCACTAAGTTCTATAAGACCATGATATATATCGCCAAAAAAGTTCCATAAAAATTTACTTAAATTTTTTTTCAACAGTTATTTACAAGAAAACGGATCGGTAGATTTTTTTCAGAATCATTCCCAACTAATATCTTACGAACAGTTTTTAATTTTTTAACATCGCTTCGGTAGTATGAGCATATGAGCTTAAATGTGGACGAAAAGTTTAACACTATTTTCCAAATTACAAAGAAACGGCTCGGCCAATCGGTGCACAAAACTGAGGAAAGATAATCCACATGCAAATACATCGATTGGCTTTTAAATTTTTGAATTTAAAATTTTTTTATGCAAACGTCGATGAAAGTTCTAATTTTGACTAATACTAATATTTGCAAACTTTGGCAAATTTTGAAAATTAAACGACTTATTTAGGACCGTATTTTAGAATTGTCTATAGAGATATTATAATGAGAAATTGGTTGTTTTTTTAATGTTTTTTTTTTCATGAAATCATGAGTTTTTTGAAAATCGTTTGTACTAAAGTTGTGGTATTTTTTAGAATCCATCAAGATCTCTTGAACCAAGTTAATTCTAGTTGGAATACGATTATTTTTAATTTTGGTGGAAATGGCACTCAAACTATTTGATTTAAATGAAAAAACATTGTATGCGTCTTTTATTTGCATGATAGCTTACTCATACGCAGAAGTACTCATTTTAAAGCTTATTTTGAGCACTAAAAAAACCCATTTTCATATCTAGCTTAATATTGTTCCTAGAACACTATAAAATAGCGATTTATTAGGATTTTAATTAATATAATTTTGTTCATTACATGATTTTCGTTAAAATGTATATTTTTGAAGATATTAGCAAAAAACGACGAAAAACGCTAAACAGAAACACATTTTCAGTAGCCAGTAACTTGAAAAGTATTTGCTTTTTTGAAAAGCATTATTAAACATTTTTCTCTTATAATTAGTTCTCTTATCGATGCCCAACGTTATTTTGAAAAAAGTAAAATTACACCACTGAAAAAAATGTCATCCCCCCAGAAAGTGGCAAAGGAGTCTAAATTGTTTTCACTTCTGAACTTAAGAGTAAGATGAACCTAATTCCAAAATTCCAAACGAATTGGAAAACAGTAAAAAAAAGTTCAGACCGAAAGCGCTCCATTGAGTAAATATGAAACTTCTAAAAAAATTTTTTTGTATTGTGACGTAAGTATAGTAAGGCAAAACGACTGCAAATTGAACATGTTTGAGCGCAATCACTTATGGCTCGCTCCATTGCACGAATTCGTATGGCGAATCGGTTCGCAAAGTGCGCAGATAAAATTATTGCAAGCAAAAGCAAACCACGCGCACGCTGAGAACACGATTCGCCGTGCGCGTCAGACGCATGCGCAGGCTGCATCACTTGTCAGACGCATGTTATATTATTTGCATCTTATATTATTTTAATTTTTGGCACATCTCAGCTGGTCTTCGGCAATAACAATGTAGACATTACATTTTTCTTATTCATAATCATAAATATATTATGTTTTAATACTGTCTTAGCCTATAAGTGAATGGAAATGTTTGGCAAATGACAGTCTTCTCTTGTTTTTAATGTCAAACGATGCCTTAAATATTTTCAAGGTCAAACAATGATAAGCGTTTTTTTCTAATTTTTTCCATTTATTTCTACAATCTAGCTATATTTCTATGAATCTAAAAATTTTAGAAAATTTCCCTAACAAATTTCAGGAAGCTTCATGAAAATCCGAATTATAGTTTAGGAGGATTAACCATTCATACATAGTTACAGAAGAATTTTGTATATAAGATAAGTCGGGATTTTTTTCCTGACGATATAACTCGAGAACGCACGAACCGATTTTGACAATATTGCATTCGTTAGAAAGGTCTAAGCTAAGAAAATTAGTGCAAGGCATCATGCCTTAATGCAAATTGCTGGAACTTCACGCACTGTAATTAAAAATTCAAAAGATTTTTAGCATTAGTTAAAAATGTAATAATTTTGTAAAATCCTTTAAAATTAAAATAAGGCTTAAACTGGCCGTTTCAAGTTACCCCGCCTATAGGGTAAAAAGGTCTAGATAACAAATTTTTGAAAGACATAAAAAGCGCATTTCTACAGTCATAAAGTAGAAGGCAGTTTTACTGAGCGTAGGCAAATAATTGTTCGTTTGAAATTTGTTATTTGTTGTGATATAATTGTTATGGTTTTCACAATATAGTTTATATTTGCTCAAAGTCAAATTGCACCTTTGTGCCTTGCCCTGCTCTACATATATACTTTTTATTAAATTTACTTTAATTCATCGAATGTTACTTGAATTTTTTCAAAAAGCAGGTCAAAGAAGAAATATTTAATTCATTTTTTATCTCTCCTCGCAGTAATTTGAAACTATAATTCAAAAATGTTCAAAATCCAGAATCCAAAAAGATTCTGAAAAAATCTTGAAACGTAATCAATAAGTCCAAAGACCAAAAAAGACTTGGATTGGATTATACCATGTTTTCTGTAGAAAGTGTATAAAACTTCTAGTTTGATTGTGAGGACAAAATATAGACAAACTAATAGGATTTATTGTTTTTATAATACCAAGTTGTATATATCATTGAAACAACACATCCTTAATATTTTTGATTGTCTAGAATTACTTAGCAAAACAACGTTTGCCGGGTCAGCTAGTATGTATGTATGTATATATATATATATATATATATATATATATATATATATATATAGAATTTTATGATATGAGTGGAACGAATATTAATTGTTTAATATGAACAAAACAGCACTCAGATTTTTTTAACACAACTTTATTTTATTATTACAAACGTTTCGAGACTAAGGTGTGCCTCATCATCAGTGTAATTTCAATAACAGTTATTTATTACTAAACATTCTTTTTAATATTTTATTTAAAACTAAATTTAGACTTTTTAATATAAAACATCAACTGTTCCTTGCATTGGCAAGTGACAATTGTTTTAATCAATGCTTGACACGGTACTGACTGACATGTGACATTTACAGAATTATTTGAAACAAAACTGAAGTATCTAACGGAGACAGGATGAGTAACATTAAAATGTAAACAAAGGAAGGCGCTCGCATACAAAAATCGATAAATATGAAAAAACATATTAATTTATTGAAAAGAATAAGATAAAAGAAAAAATTATAAATTATTAATGATGTTTATATAAGTGTCATGTAAAATATTTGTGTCGGTTCTCAGATTTATGCTATTGTTAGTCCGAACTATTAACATTGATTCTGCCATGCTCCGTTTAAATACGTCCTTCTCATGGAATAAGATTTGGGGATTGTCAAAATCAAACTTATGGTTGTTGATACTAGCATGATCCACAAGTGTACTTTTAAATTTTTTGTTATCTATTTTTTCACATTGTAATTCATGTTGCCCGAGTCTCTTTTCTAAGTTCTGGCAGGTCTGGCCAATATAAGAGCAATTACAATCCAAACAATTTACTTTATAAACTATATCTTTCTTTTTTGTTAATGGAGTTTCATCTTTAATTTTGGAATATAAAAATTTTAATTGTTTTAATGAAGAAAAAGTAATACGAATATTGTGTTTTTTGAAAAGTCTTTTTGATAATTGGTTAAAATTATTGTCAAGATATGGAAGATTAATGAAAAAAGTTTTTTCAGGAACACTTGTTTTGCCAGGCTCTTCCGGTTTCTTATCCAAAGGTTCAAGTAATTTTGCGACTCTATTTTTAATAATTGGACAAATTAACTTATATGGAAAATTATTGCCAAGTAGGATCGTTTTAACTAATTTTATGTTTGTATCATAAAACAGAGGATCAGATAATAAAATAGCGTGATCTACAAGATTTAGAATGGTAGAAATTTTTATATTGAGAGGAACATGCGAATTAAAATTAACACTAATCATACCAAGACTTAATATATACCTAATTCTGCCATAGCGGGTCAAATGACCCGACTCTATGTTTCATGCTTGAATGTATGAAATATGGATGTTAGGAAGGAATAAAAATAAAAATTAAATTTATTATAATTAAACAATAAAGTATGTTGACCATTTCTATTACAAAAGCAAAAATAAAATAATTTAATTCATAGTTAATCGTATCATTGTACATTTTCCGCAAACATATTTTTTACATTTAGAGCAAGTTTTGTTGGTTTTATTTTCTTTACAGCATCCTATTTGACATCTCATATGTTTATAAAAATCTGTAGTAGACTTAGGCAACGATATTTTCGTATTTTTTTCTTGTTTTGGTTGTT